CATTATAATTACAAAAATCTGTGATAGTCAAGGAACGTCAAAATCACATTTTAAAAATTTAAAAGCTAAACTTTTACAATTTCACGATAATAGAAGGCCACCGTATTGGGGAACATGGAGAAAAAAATCTAAATTTATCAAACCTCGAAAACCTTTTGGTAAAGACGAGGTAAGTGATCCTTTTTTTTTTTTTTCTTTTAAAATTTTTATAAAAGATATTTAATATATGATATTTGTTTTAGATATTCAATTACGATGTTGATTCTGATGATGAATGGGAAGAAGAAGAGGAACCGGGTGAGTCGTTACTCGATTCTGACGGTGAAAAAGAACCGGAAGAAGACTACGAAGTTGATAATGATTTTTTCGTACCTCACGGATACCTTTCGGATGATGAAAATCCTGAAAAAGAAAATGTGGTGAGGTTTTTTTTTTTTTTTATCATTTATTAATACAAAAAGGTAGAAATTATTAGAAACTAAAACTCAAAAATTGTTTTTTTAGCCTTTAAAATCAAAACTTAATTTATTAGAAGAACAATTATCATCGGAATTAAAACAAAAAACTAGAAAAATGAATCCGATAGTTTTTGGAACTTTCTGGATGAGTAAAAAATTACAAACGTCGTCTGCTGAAAGTATGTTTTAGTTTTAAGAAAAAAATTTATTTTATGATTATAAATCGCATTTAAATAAATTAAAACTTACAGGATCATTATTTGAAGATTTACGGCTTGAAGAATTCCAATATGTCCCTTGGTCGCCATGTCCGATAAAAATTGAGAATGAAATTAACAACGCGGAAGACATAAACGATTCTCCGAGTCAGTTAAAAAGAAAACGTTCGAAAGCGGCTTTTCCAAAGGAAGAAGTTCCGCTATTAATAAAATTAGTTCACGGTAGTCCACAAAACGGAAGTAATTTAGCAAATAAATTTTTAAACTCTAGACAATCGGATAAAACGCAAAGTGAAAAAATGTCGAGTTTGACGAAAAAATGCGTTATTAATAAAATAAAAGAATTGGCCACGAGACAAATAAGCAAGGATAAAAAAAAAATGTGTTGGTTGGTATCGAAAGAAACTCAGGAAAAATTTGGAGCCGATGTCGAACCAGAAATAGTCGAAAAAAAACCGCAAAAATGTTACATATGGAAATTTATAAAAAAAAATGAAAAAACGGTGGCTCTTGCTTCTCAAGTGCCTGAAAAATCATAATTTTTTTCCTTCCCTTTTTTTTTATATATACATTTATACTTGATTATATTGGATTATTTGATTTTTTTCTTAAATTACTCGAATTATGTAATCATTTTAAAAAATAATTTCTGTATAAATTTTTATAAAATATTGTACCTGGTTTTGAAAAATATATATATATATATATATATTTATATATTATTGACAATAATGTGAGTAATTTTTAAATAAACCGCGTATTTTCAAAATTAAATAAATTTTAATACTTTTCTATATACGTAATAAAAATTTATTGTATATTTTTCATTTATTTATTTAATTATTTTATTGTTAAAATTAATTTTTCCATTTTTTTAAAATAATTATTATTATGTATGTATTGATTGTTTTGCTAATATTAATTTTATATCACGATAGAAAAAAGAAAATATGTATCTGTTGGGAAAATTCAAGCGGTTGGAAAAACAAAGAAAAAAAAATACAAAGTCACCGATCAAAATAAATCACCCCGTTACATCAAATACATTTTAAGTATAAAAAAAATTAATAATATTAGGGAGGGAAATAGTCGTTACGTCGACACCATTTTGCGATGACAGTTAATAGAAAATTTAATTTTTAAGTTATTTTATTTTTGCGGTGAAAATAACTTGGGAAATATTAAAAAAAAAAAAAAAATTTTTTTTTTTACACGAGATAAATTGTGATTGTAATTGATCGAATGTTATTTTTAAAAATCAACAGTCTGGATAAAATGACTCGGAAACTGGAATTGGACTTCTCCGATAGGGATTAACCTTCAACATGGATGTCTCTGGCTCCCCATAAGTCTCCAAGTTAACACGTGAGAGTCCAATTTTGGAGGGTTTGGAAACCTGTACCTTCATAAGGCAAAAGAGGATCTGGTACACATTCGAAGCATTGGGAAAGCTGGCATCGGAAGCGATTAAGGCTGAAATGTGGGTTAAACTCCAGAACACCCCTCCCTCCAAAATTCCATGGCGATGCACGAAAAATTTAGGATGAAATGAACATTTTAAAAGGTAAACGAATACGTCATCATATTGTAAAAAAAAAAAATTTACCTTAAATTTAATTTTTAATAGAAAATAATAACATAATTATTATTAATTTAAAAGGGAAGAGGTGGGGGAGGGAGGGAAAGAAAAAATTCAGGTAAGAAAAAAAATAATTCAGGAGCCGAAAATAAGAAACATATCGTTGTTTTACTGTTTAGCTTACGTTTTGTATAATTAATAAGTGACGTAATAATAAACCTTTTCCGAGTTTTAAATGTGCCTCCAATGAATTGGGTTGCATATGTATTTCTCATATAAAAATTATTCCCTGGATTCTCTTAAAACTCCTTTAATAATTCTGGAGAAAAAAAAAAAAGGATTACTTTTTTTTGTAAAGTTTTCTATTCCGGTTGAAACTTAAGCTCGTTCACTAAAACGAAAAAATATAAATTTACTCTTTTATTAAACAGTAGAATGTTTATATACATTTTGTTTTTGTTTTTTTCTTCAATTTTTCATTGGAAAACCTTACAATTGAAAAATATTCCGTGCTTTTCGAATTTCTTACAACGAATTTTTTTCTTTTTTTTCTCCCCCCCCCCTTCCGATTTAACCCGGAATAAATGCATATACTTAAAATCATGTACGGTTTATTTAATGGACATACTTACACGTATACAGGAAAGCATGTCAAGTTGCATATTTAAAATTTTTTAGGCGGTAATTAGTTTTACTCGTGAGTTATCGTTTTAAGTGTGCGTGTGCGCGTGAGAGCGTTTTATTAAAATATTTAAATGTAGACTATATTTATTTCCTTTTTTGTTATAAAAATTAAAAATTGTCAAAAGAATAATATTTTCCAAGGATATATTTAAAATTTTCCTTTTTTTCTTGCCGATTAAGAAGAAGGGGGGAGAAAAAAAACAACAAAAATTATTATTATTATTATTTTTTAATAAACAAATCTTAACTTTTGCTTACGAAGGAACGTAAAAAGAAAGTAATTTTAAAATTATAAATATATATAAATATATATAGAAATGAAAAATAAATCAAAATAAAAAAAAAGAAAGAAAAAATGAGAAGAAAAGAAGAAAAAAAAAAAAAGGAAAAAACAATTTTCATGGTTTTATATCAGAGTTTTTAGGGTTTTCCCTGTAATATTTTTTAATAAAATCTCAACTAAAATCTCATAAATTTTCTCATCTTAAAACTTGGTAAAAAGTTGATAAAAGTTGATAAAAGTTTTATATTAAATGCTTCTTCGTCGTTTCTTATGAAAGTTTATTTAAAGAGGGTAATGGAATATGACAACACTTTGTCACAAAATTTAATCAGATTAATCAAATATTATTTATTATTATTATTTTTTTTTTTTTTTGTGGACATTGAAAAATTTTACTCAATCAACGCTCAATTTTTATTCTTACCCTTAACTCATACACATATATCAACCCTAACGATTTTCTTCGATCAAAAAATTTTTCAACGTCACCAGAAAAATGATGCCCACAAAAATACAGACGCACACCCACCCACGCACACACACACACACACAATCGCAGAGGTTTTTATAATTATTTTCATTTGAAATGGTCAAGATACGCGCGCCTATCTAAAGCTCCATTGATTCTTTTTTTCTTTTTTTTTTTCTCTCAAAAAGTATGAATTAGGAATTTTTGGGGAAATTTCTCCAGGGAAAAAAAAAACCGCAGAGAAACATTATAAGTGTAAATTCTTAGCTTTCTCTCTCACTCTCTTTTTCTCTTTCTCTCTTTCTGCTGTTGGAAATCCCTCGGCAACTGTCTTAGTCGGCATTAAATAAAAATCTCGATTCTTCATTTTTGTTTTTTTTTTTTTCTTTTTATTTTTCCAAAATGAAGAAAATGAATGTAATTTTTTGGAAGAAAATAAAAAAAAAAAAGAAAAACTTTTCTATAACTAATCTGTTTTAATATATAATTTTATTATTGAAACGAAAAAAAAAAAATTTTCCGATCGGAAATCACAACGATTGTAGTTACATTTTCCTTATTTTTATTTTTTTATTGTAATTATTATTATTATTATTATTATTATCATTAACATTTATTGATGTTATACTTATTTTTTTTTTCTTTCCCGATGATATATGAATGAATAATAAGAATGTGAAATGAAATCTATTTTGAAAGTTTTATATAGAGATAAGAAAAATTTTTCCTTATTTTCTCTCTCTCTCACTTTCTCCCTCTATCTTTCTCTTTTTTTTCTAGAAGAATAAAGAAAGTTTGACACAATATGATGAAGGATGTGTTCTCATATTCATCTTTTACTTAAAAACCTTCTGAAAATTCTCAAGAGAAAAAAAAAAAGGTTAGATATGACATATTTTAAATAAAATGGATATCATTTTCAATATTCTCCAAAATTTTTTTTTTCTCCAAAAATCAATCAATAAATTAATAATCAATCAATAAATATCGATTTTTAAAAAATTTTTTTTATCACCCAATAATGCTCGAGGATAAAGATAAAAGAAAAGGAAAAAATTAAGGGATTCAAATAATTTAAATATGATAAAAAAAATTTTCCATTGAAAAGTATAATAAAACGAGCGACAAAAGGGTGGTTTATGACGGAAGGGGGGAGATGAAAGGGTGGGTGAGGGGGTAAACGTCGCTAAACGTCCCCTGGGAAATGCATCAAACGTCTCAACAACCACATTACAAATACAAAACTCGTTCTAACACCCTCAAAAAAAAATTCCTTTTTTTTTTCTTTCCTTTTTACAAAAAAAATCCACCCTTTACTTTTTCATCCCCAATTTACTTTCAAATATTTTATTTTCTTTATGTTTTTAAATTATTTTTATCATCTTTTTCTTCTTCTTTCTTCTTCCTTCTTCTTTGTCTTTACGTACATACATATATATATATAATCAATTTAAAACGTGGTTTTAGACAATAAAAAAAGTTTTTTTTTTTTTTATTTATTTTAAACATTAAATAAATTAATTAAGTTAAAAAGTTTCTTCCCCTCTCTCTCTCTCTCTCTCGTTTTCTTTTGTACATTTGATTATCTTTTTTTATTTCGTACATTTATTTTCGTTTTAAATGTCAAAGTTCAACAACGTTTTCTTAACGGAAAAACAACCACGATGGGGACATAACCTTTCGTTTTACCTTTTTTTTTTTTTATTTATTTAATTCAAAATAAAGTTGCGTGTTTAATTTTTTTCCTTTTTTTCGTGGATGTTTTTTAAGCTCAATTTTGTGTACCCTTCGTTCGTTCGTACCTTTAGAAAAAAAAAAAAAAAATTTCTTTTTAACCTGAGGCAAAAAATATATAAATATAAACAGATGTTTAAAAAATTTCTTTCGGCTAATATTTAAATAATACATCTGTTTATTATTATTATTATTATTATTATTATTTCCAATCGATAAACGTCAATTTATAAACACACGCACACGCACACACACACGCACATTTTTTTTTTTTATTAAATGGCGGTTAAATAAATTGACAAAAAAAAAATAAAAAATTTCAAGATGGCTGATTGACATAAATTTTAAAGGGGGTGAATTTCTTTTTTTTTTTTTTTTGTATTGTTCTCACGAAATTTTTTTTTTTTTTATTAACCGTTATTTTATTATTTCTTAGAAATATATTAAATATTATTGTAAACATTTATGTAAATTATTAATTTTTTTTTATTAAACTATTTTTTGTCTTTCTTTTGCCACGTTAAAAAAAAAAAAAAAATTTAAATTAATTATTAATGAAATTTTTTGGTGTGTGTTTGGGTGCGTCGATGTTTTAAAAATTTTCCACTTTGTTTTATTATTATTATTATTAAAGCCGGAAAAAAACGACGAATTGCATGTCTCCTATTATTATTATTATTATTGTTTTTTTTTATCTCATTCAATATCCAGTTTTTTAGTGAAATTATCTCATTTTGACTTCCTATTTTTTTTTTTTTTTTTGTGTGAACACGAAAACTTTTTTTTTTTT